ACCCATCTGTCAGTGGAGGCTTGCATGTTGCTATAATGCTGAATAGGTTTCAGCAGACCATCTAGACTAAGGTGGACCAGGAAGAAAGGCCTGGTTTCTGGAAATCAGCCAAACAAAACCCTACGGAGCACAAAGTCCAACCCACAACTGATCGCGAGGCTGTCACAGGACCAGGTATGGGGAAGGTGCAGCATTCCGTTCTGTTGTGCATGGGGTTGCCAGAATCAGGGGCCAATTCAATGGCAGCTAAAAATAAGGTTTTATCACAGGCACTGTAATTCAAAATTTATTTTCAAATATCTTTTAAGCATTAACCATGGGCTGGGTGACTGTGGAACATTAACAGGGTCCCTGACCTCTTGGAGCTCACAATCTGGTGCAGGAGACGTTATTCAAACCACCACCAAATAAATACATAATGACCATCTGATAGTGCTATGACGGGAAAACAGTGTGTTCGGTGGGTAAAATGGGGACTTAGCTCTGCCAGAAGTGAAGGACCATGGACTAAGGGGCTGCAGTGAGGGAAAGCGCAGTCTGGCGGAGGGCCCAGCACATGCAAGAGCTCTGAGGGCAGCAGCAGCGCTGCCCTTTGGAGGAACAGCATAAAGGCCAGAGCGGCCGGAGCAGGAAGAGGGTGGGAAGTAGAGCAGGAGACAGGGCTGGAGAGTCCTGCACAGCTGCCTGTGAGCCACATAAAGGAGCGGGGCTGTGATCTTGGAGGAATGGGAAGCCACAAAGGTAAAGACGAAACCTCAGTGGCCGTTGAGTCACGGTGACCCCATGTGTATCAGAGGAGAACAGCGCTCCACAGGGTTTTCAACCACTGGTTTCTTAGAATTACAGAGCCAGGCCTTTCTTCTAGGTGCCTCTGGATGGAATTGAACCTCCAGCCTTTCAGTTAGCAACCAAGCATGTTAACCATCTGTACCACCTAGGGACTCTAAAATATACATATGAATAAACATGCGTGAAATATAATTCATATATACACACATAAATATAAGTATGTATGTGAATAAATAAATATTTTGTTTACTTATTTATTTATTCCCCATTTACCACCTTGGAAAATGTCTATAATCATGACTAAGTTATAATTCCTAGATTTTCCAAAGATGGCGACCCCAAGATTTCTCATCCCACATACCCTTTTCACAATGTGGCCCTGAAACCCCTTCACTGTGTGGCGGGGTCTGTGTGTTCTCTCCTTGAACCTGGGCTGATGTTTGTCACTGTCTCAACCAACTGAAAACAGCAGAGATACCGTGTGACTTCGGAGGCTAGGACACAAAAACGCCACACATTTCCACCTTGTCCTCTTGGAACACTTGTCCTTGGAACCCAGCTACCACACTCTGGAAGCTCAAACTAAGCCACTGGAGAGGTCACGTGGAGAGGCCACATGTAGGTGTGCTGGCTGGCAGGCCACCTGAGGTCCCAGCCAATGTGAGCAAGGATGCTTCCGTGTGACTACGGCTCCCAGGTGCATGTCACCCAGGCTTTGAATCTTCCCACCTGAGGCCCCAGGCCCCAGAGAGCAGGAAGCTGCTACCCCTGCTGTGCCCTGTCCTAATTCCTGACCCACTGCATCCATGAGCATCAATTAACATAACGGTGGTTTCACACCACAACACTTTGGGGTGGTCTGTCACACAGCAACAGTAACTGGGACAGAAGTATCGCAAAGTTCTCTATACATACAGATATGTGCACATATGGCGGTGTATGTGTGTACTCACAGGGGCACAGTTTTCCTCTTATTCACCACCACCTCCCTGAGAACTTCCAAAAGGGAACGTCTATTAATTACTCCTGAGTTAGCACCCCGGGGCTTTCCCCACATCATTTTGGAAAAAGCTGACCAGGTTTGTTACTTCAAAGAAATATAAAATACTTTTAAACCACTCAAAATATGCAAAAGTAATCCATTCTCACTGCAAATATAAAGCCCTTGTTAAAATATCCGACACCTTACTGCAATCAGTTTTGAAAACAGAGATCAAAAATGAGATTTCATTGGCAACAACCATGTAAACAGTGCACCTAGGGCCCTTCTTTCCGTCCAAGCTACCGAAGGCCCAGACATATACAGAGTGTTTGCCAAGTAAACAGGCGATGCATATAAAGTACTCACTACAGTGCCTGGTACTTAAGAGTCCACCAAATTCTAGTTACTATTATTGCTTTTGTTATTGTTAGAATTAATGTTTTGTTTTAATTCCAGCACTAATACATCCCGACCTAAATTAAATAATCTTTTTGTCCCATCGCAGCAGAAAATAATCTGTACTGAGTTTGGTTAAACATCAAGAAAGGGATCTCAGATCCCCTATGATTAGAAATGTTATACAACATTATATAACATCACTGCCCCATATCTGTATTTTGGTTTGGTAAAATAATTGTCCTTAAAAAAAAAAAGTTTTCAAAAACAAGCTTCTAAGAAGTTACATTTAACAATCACTGCATGGCTTCCAAGGTGAATAAATAAAAAGATTGCTTTTTTTCATTATGAAGGTCCCCCTCTCTGATTATTTAAATATTACAATAGTGTGCCAAGATGATGGTGTGGATCCCAGGGAACAGAGGTGGAAGCAAAGAGCCAGGCTTCCTTGGTTTGGGTTTTTCCTCTACTCCTCAATTGCTGTGTGACCTTAAGCAAATCACTCAGCCTCTCTGAGTCACTATCTTTAAAACAAGGCTAACTTCCAAACTTATTATCCATACGGAAAGAACCATTAAACAGAGCGGCTCACAAGTTTCCAGGGTAAATGTCACCATTCAAACGCTTAAGTATGCTGAACGGCAATTTCCCAACCAAAATAATAAGTTTGCAGACCCACACACTCTAATTAATATGTTCAAATTATCTTGAAAAATCTGTGCCATGCTGCAAAATATTACCATGCATCACAATATCTATCTATTACAATATCTATGCATTCAATATCTAATGGAGGAAAAGGTGATCAGAGACAGAACTGCAATTAGCATGGCATCTGGGGGAAATAAACAGAGGCTGGACTGCATCCTCCTTAACATTGCTGGTTTTTCACTGTTAGGTCTTTGGTTGTTTGGATTACAGTCTTCTTAAATCCTACATTTATGGTAATGGGGCAAAAGGGGCTGAATGTGAATATATGAAGGGTGGGAAGGAGAAAAGGAGAAAGGTAAGGGACGGGGAAAGGGCTGTGCCGTCTGAGTCTATGGCTCCTGAACATAAATGTCCCTGCTGGGGAAACCACTTCACAATGACGGTATGGTCACCAGGTATTAAGTCTGCAAAGTGCCTGCCCCCACCACTTGCCCAACATCCCAGCTTTCCCAGAAGCCAGGCAGCCAGCCCCCTGCAGGTGACTGACTTAACTATGGGTCACACTCTCCATCCAGAGAAAAGGTCTTTATGTCCTGGAAAGAGGTAGGAACTCTGTGACTCAGAGAGACCCAATCTGCAAGAAAATGGCCGGCATATAACTGACATGGAATGGCTCTTTCCAAAGGTGGCGTGAGCTCGAAACCAGCTTTTCACTCATAACATTTGGAAAGATTAAAAAGGAGTTAATAAAAACCCTCTTAGTGAGAAACAGTCAACAGACAGAAGAGTGACAGGTCTGCATCTGCCCTTGGAGAGCTTCCTGTCTTCTCTTACCCTGGCAGAGTCCCATGAGTGATTCATCTCCAAGACCTGATAATCTGAGATTCAGGAGCAAGGGAGAGAGAAGCGGAATCCTAACTGTTTCACTGGAGACCAAGACGGACTCTCTCATATTACCATATATGATGAAGTCTACCCAGAGGTCTGCTCAGACCTGAATGAGGACGACCATCTGGCTGAACCACTAAGCACATGACCAGCCAATTTGCAAAAGACTCCTTTCTTAATTGATGACACCTTTAAAAATATTTTACCATCACTATCAAAATGTCTTTATTCTGCACTTCATAACACCTTATATTAGAGCTACGCCTGATCTTAACACCACAGCACATATTTGTAACTGCTTTTTCTCACAGCCCTTTATATGGCTGTTTTCTCATAAACTGTACCACTTTAATGGCCAAATTATAAAACAATTTTATAACAGTTATTCTTCCAAGACTTTCCTTAGTTTTTAAACAGCTGCACCCCCGTGTCTAAACCATTTTCAGCAGACAATGGTTCTGAAGACATTTGTCCACAAGGTCTATTTCAGCTCAAGAAAGGCCAAAGACAAAGTTGTGGGTTAAAAGGCAACCCACTGAAAGGGCAACGTGCAGGGGAATGGCTAGAGTTGGGTAGTCGAGTCCAAATCATTTCTTCCAGAGCTACAAGTCTGCAAAAAGGAGCTGCGGAAAAGGAATCCAGGTCTTCCCAGTGAGTTTAAGGGAACCAGAGCATTCCCGAACCCTGGCTGGATGCCCAACACTCTTTTTCTATTTGTACTTTCCAGCACCTGTTTTGGAAAGGCAGGTATGGAGCTTTCTACCCGGTTCATCCTACCTGTTTTACAGGGAAAACATATGGAGAACTATGTGTCAACCAGCCAACCAGCCCCCTTCATTCCTTCAACAAGCCAAAGAGTATACAGGTGGTATACTCGCCCAGGTACCTAATCTTAAACAGGGACAACTTTATTACTGGCCTTTGTGGGACCCATTTGGGGTAGGAAACCTCCCACTCCCCCACTGCCACCACCAGTCCCTTCGGCTGGCTGTTAAGAGGGCAGAAACACGAGGCACAGGTAAAGAGGCTTGAGGGCAGCTACGTGCCCAAGCCGGCTGGACACTTGTCAGCTCCGCAGTCCTCGCCTTCAGGGGACCCTCCTCTGAGCTCCTCCGAGGTAAAAGGAGGAAGGGTCCTCGTGTCCAGCAGCCCCGCCACGGGCCAAGCGTGCTCAACCAGCGGCCCCAGCTGAGCAGCACTGCCAGGCCGCCCGCAGCAGCCACGCGCCCAGCCCGGGGAGCTCCCGAGAGGCCTGAGCCGCAGCGCCCACTCGGGGCGGGCGGCGAGCACTCACCCTTCTGCTCTCGCAGGCTCGACAGCGACCAGAGCAGCAGCGCCACCGAGGCCAGGAAGCAGAGCTGGCTCAGCAGAAGGTCCCTCCGGCGGCGGCGGCGGCGGCGCGCGCGGTCCTCGTCGCCCGGCGGCTGCAT